TTCAAGACAAGATATTGATCACTTTCTTGTCACTGTATCAAACAAGAGATCAGTTCATAAAGATCTTGCTTTACCCACCTTCAAAACAAGATACTGATCAGTTTCTTGTCACTGTATGAAACAAGAGATCAGTTCATAAAGATCTTACTTTACCCACCTTCAAGACAAGACATTGATCACTTTCTTGTCACCGTATCAAACAAAAGATCAGTTCATAAAGATCTTGCTTTACCCACCTTGAAGACAAGATATTGATCACTTTCTTGTCACCATATCAAACAAGAGAAGATTCAAGCCTCTACGTGAAAAATACAGTTTTAAAGAGAAACTACATGAGGGAAAAATACGGTAGAGGGAAAATACTAAAAAGGAAATACTATATGGGAAAATACTAGGGGACATTTTATTGGGAAAAAGAACAAGACAAGAAATACTAAAGAGGAAATACTAGGGGAAGCAGTGTGTACAGACATCCTTAGATAAATCATATACGTGTACAATCTGGTAGTGTACAGGCAGCGTGTACAGACTTCTTGAGAGAAAACTGTACAATTTGGCAACAAGAATCCATGAATTAACTAGAAAAATTGATGATCTGACATCGCTCTAGAATGTGGAACACTGGATAATGGTAGATAGTGGATGACGTAACACAGCGCCTTTTACAATCTGGATTATGTGACACGTCGGATAACATTACGACCCTGTATGATACAATACATTGGATAATGTTACGACCCTGTATGATACAATACACTGGATAACATTATGACCCTGTATGATACAATACACTGGATAATGTTACGACCCTGGATGAGCTACTATGCTTTGGTATGATGTTTCTCAAAATAAAAAAAATAAAAACTGACAGAGGTAGATGACTGTATGTAAAGCTACAGTTCAGGGACATACAATATCCTTCTACCAACATCCCATTCTGGATCCTCACACACACAACATACAAACTGAATAAAAAATCCTAACCATGAAAAAGATTTCCTTATTGACCTGAACAGAAAATAGTCACACACAAAAATGTATGTTTTGGCACTTGACACTGCAGACTCAACAAATACTCATATAAATTAGGTATGAGCCAAACAGCTCTCTGTAGGTGTCCTGGTGAAGAACAGACACCAGAACATATCTTGCATGACTGACCTCTCCCGGGGCCGCGTTAGCGCAGTCGATATAAGAGGCTCGCTTTCAAATCCAGCTGTGACTCGCTGCAGCCCACGGTCGGTGTTCGAAACCGGGCGGTTCCCGGGTTCACCCAGCCTCTAGGAAATGGGTACTAGAGTGACACTTTGGGGTAAATGGAGGAACGTCGCTGTAGCTACAGAGTTATGTGCGAACGGCGACACAGGCGGACAATTTTTATCAGCTGTTCGTACTGGTGGCAGAGCACTTATAGTTTATAACCGTGTGCAATGACGCTTGTTCACATCTCCCGAATTTACCTTTACCCTCTCCTGGTGTAGCTGCGAAGCAATAGGTGGCCACACCCATTAGACCTGATAACTAAGCTTTGGGGAAACCTAAGAGACCTTGAGATGTCATCCCAGTTTATGGCCCACAGTAGATTACACACATAACCATAGATCGCAGAAGAACAAACAACCCAAAACATAAAATACAAACTTAACAAACACATCCCGCAAACATAGCTCACAAATCTTCCAGAACCATTTACAAAACAAACAAATACAGGGTCTCCTCGACTTACGGCAGAGCTCAGTTCAACTAACAGGTGGTAAATCAAATTTAAACTATTCATAAGTAAAGTAAAGTAAAGATCCCTTTTCACGCCTTTCGGCGCATCGGGTATATGGGCAGAGCGTCCCATATTTTTACAGACCATCAGCACTCTGTGGGTAATGTGGTCAGCATTACGCCGGCTGTCAAATCACCATTGATAACTGGCATTATGAGAGCTAATAGACTGAAATGGTTGGGCCATATTGAGAGAATGTGAGATGACAGAGAAGTCAAAACTGTATACACAAGGAAGATGAATGGTCGTAGACCATGAGGCAGACCAAGAAGATGGTGGAGAGATAACGTCCAGACAGACCTGCAAACACTGGGTGTCACCAACTGGAAAGAGAAGGCCAACCAGAGAGATGAATGGAGGTGGGTGATATCTGTAGCAATGAACCTCTAAGGCTCAGAATGCTGAAGAAGGCCAACCAGAGAGATGAATAGAGGTGGGTAATATCTGTAGCAATGAACCTCAAGGGCTCGGAATGCTGAAGAAGAATAACACTTTTCTCATTGAAATTGCAGCTTAAGACAATCTCCCATATCTGGTAATCCTAGTTTCAGCTTCATAGCAAACGGGTCACCCCACAGATGCTCCACTCCTGTGCCAACGAAAAACAAACGCAGCTCACAGTGTCACGCCATAGATGCAGTAGGGTCAAACAGACCCTTATGTACAGATCATGCTGCACTCTAGGCATCAGTTCCAGAAACTTTTCGTTCCCTACGATACACATCAGGAAGATGTTCGCAACTCGCGGCGCACAAGATTTTGCGCCGACTCTCATGCATGCCGCAGCCTGTTCTATGTTGCAGGGGTGTTGAGATATCTGATCCTTCGCCTCCTCCATCTATACACACTGCATATGCAAAAGTGGCTCCTGTTCGTTCACACGAAACTGGGGAGGTCTCTTTTGTGGCAGGCAACACTGAGCGACGGTTTTCTTTTTCTGCCCACAAGCCAGGCTTCAACAAGTTTTCTTCTCTCTCTCAACTATGTCTCTTCTGCAACCATCACTGGTTTGGGAATTGGTGACATTTTTTAGCAGGCCCTGGAAAGGGCCGTCGGAGCTTTGAAAAAAAAAAAAAAAAAAAAGCAACGCTACTCTACATGTCGCTCAGTGTTGCTGACAATTAAAGGAAATTCATGGCGAAGGTCAAGTCGCCAATTGACGCCACAGTGATATCGATGAAGAGCAAATACACAACGCAAGTAACACACAAGACTGCCAGCCGCTGATGACATGAAAAACAGCATGTGCTGGCCTCTGACAATGCAGAATGTTGATGACTATAGCAGTTAAAATAACAAAAGGGTTACACCACTACAAGATACCCCAGCCTGTGAGAAATCCTGTGCCCCATGAAATGCTGGCATCTTTGCGATATGTACCGACCCTACTAATGTAGTAATTGTTCTTTATTTGCTATGTTTAATTGTTGTGGTCATAAGAGTGGAAGGTCATAAGTTGCCAAGGTCATAAGTCGCCAAGGTCATAAGTGGCCAAGGTCATAAGTCGAGAAGAAGGTGTAAGTTGCATTTAGAAAAGAATCTTGTTCTAAACAATAAAATAAGTAAAGGGTCCAGTAACATGCTATGAAGAATAGTAGATATATGGTGCCAACCCGCCAACCCCTATTTGTAGACCAATGAATGAATCCAGACTTGACGTCATTGCACTTGGGACATTCTCATACATGCTCTGTCTCCCTCCTTGGTCGCAACAAAGATCCATGAAGTAGAGAATGTCATCCAAAGAGGCACCATTCATCTATGACTTGGCCAAACTGCAACATCGCATGTTAACTAGATGATAAATAACCTGCCATTTTATTTAACTAGTCAGAGTTGCTTTGTTACGTATACAGCACGGAGCAAACAGCAAACTAAGTTTTATTTCTAGTTGAACTGATGAGACAAGTTAAGGGTAATCGATGTTTATCTTGTGCACATATATTCAGATGATACTCATGATTCAAAACTAGTGCGAAAAAGATTGAAGGTGAAGCAATGCTGAAACGTCCGATTTCTGCTTCTAATGATTAAATCACTGCCAGTCATCAAACAGACATAGGAAAACCCGATGTCTCATTAACATAACAGATGAATCTGATGTTGAATATGGCAAGCAATGATCCTTAGAAACTTGTTTCAACACTTCAACATCTCCTTAGCATTTTTCCTAACTAACAGAATAATTTAATATTCACTCTTTGCTCCATGATGCAAACGTAACTATGCAACTCTTACTGGCTAGAGTAAATGGTGGATTGCTCATTACTCGCTGACCAAGCATCATCCCAGTTTTGTCACATTATAGATGACTGTTTCCTGTCTGGATGACCCACTTTGCTACAAGAAAGGGGCGTGGGGAAAGATAAGACTTGGCCTCAATAAAATAAATCACATTACTGAACTGACGAATGGCGTAATTTCTCCCTAGAATACGTTAGCAACCCATAATTTCTCCCAAAGAACATCAGAAATATACACCTCAGTCCTGGATTACATTACAACCATTTTACTCTCAAAAAATATATTCCGTCTTGCCCGTGGAAGATGTATCTCCTAACCCTAGAACTAGAATCAAACATGTCCTATGAGTGCACTAGTATCTATTTATCCCTAAACATATATCAAACTGGACTAATGTCCAGAAATCACCTACCTCTGTCCTAGACATCTTAAACTGGAATGTCTGTCTATAAATCACACAATGACTTCTATCAATCACACAATGATCTCCAGAGATCACACAATGACCTCCAGAGATCACACAATGACCTCTATAAATCACACAATGACCTCTATAAATCACACAATGACCTCCAGAGATCACACAATGACCTCTATAAATCACACAATGATCTCCAGCCATCACACAATGACCTCCAACAATCACATAATGACCTCCAGAGATCACACAATTACCATAAGAATGTGTCAGAAATGTACAAACACTCCTGTGAGTATATCGGAATCACATTTTGCGATGGGACTAGCTTAACACATGTGAGACATGACAAACCACAGCAACATGGCGACTAACATACGACAGACACTGTGTAGAGTTCTTGGCTCCCTGTCACTGTTCTGGCAGCAGCAGCAGCAGCAGCAGCAGCAGCAGCGGTGGCAGCACTCAGACATCTTGGAGCCCTTCCCAGGTGTGTCTGGTCACTATGTGAACATATTTCAACAAGTCTGTGGTTGTAAACCGTGTTTCCAACAATGAGTGTGGTCATTCCACGAAGCCAAAGACTTCCACTACTTGGCAGCTGCAGAAACAGAACAATAACTCATTGTCAAAAGAAGAAAGGGACACACAAAAAAACATTCTCTGTACAGGAGAAACATAGCTGGTTTCCCCATGCCTTCAACTCCTTGTGGTCCGGGTTCACGCCCCGGGGTTGGCAGAAAACCCTCTTTTCTCCCAGATTTACTGTATCTATCTGGGAATCAAGGCCGAAGGGTTGCGATATCCATAGTACCGAGCCAAAGGGTTAACAACTCATGGCTTCTGGATATTTTCAACAACAAAAAACACAAGTCAGCAGATTTCCTAGTTCACTAAATATCGAGGTGAATGTTACTTGTCTGAAGCAATTTAAATAAATTTAATATCTAGGAAGTATATTCTTGGGAGAACGGAAGAACAGATTGGGAAAAAGAAATAAGATGCTAAAGAGCCAGTGCCCTTATATGCCAAGTGAGGCTGTTATTAAGACATCCAAACATTAGTATGAGCGCCAAGAAACATATAAATTACAAACAGCATATTCATACCAACACTGTGCTACCAGTGCCAGATCTTGTCATTATCAAAGTCTAACCTATTTTTAATTAACAACTGCGAAACAAGATGCATGAGAAAAGCCGCCAAATTAACCATCCGAGACAAAGTTAGAAATGACATCATCAGACAGACTGTAGGAACTACACCATGCATCAAATTCAATAAGAAACAGAAGATCAAATGATTTGGTCATTTAGTAAGAATGCAGCCAGAACAACTACAAAATGATGCTACACATGAAAAGATCTGAACTGAAGAAAGCAAGAGCCCGCCCTAGGAGAACATGGACTGATGACACTAAAAAGCTTCTACATCGACACGGAAAGACAATAGTCAATACTGCCCTTCATGCAATGGATAACAAACTGTTCCTCCCTACAACGCTTAACTGCAGAAGTTGAAATTGATGATGATGATGATGACAATGCTAAACACAAAATTAAATGCGTATATTCTTCTTCTCAAATAAGGCAAGAATCCAGGCAAGAGTATGTGTCTAATTTTATACAAAAACGCCGCTGGAACTATGTCGGCCACGCCCTTAGAATGGATAAATCAAGACTTCCTTACCAAGCCCTCATTTGGACACCACAGGGGAAAAGATCTCGTGGAAGACCAAGGGAAACCCTACGTAGAACTATCATCAGGGAAGGCTCACTCATGGGCCACTCAAACATCCAAGACCTACAACAGATTGCAACGAACCGCCATGCATGGAGAGTCATGACCTCTGCCCTATGTGCCGCACTCGACACAAGAGGAAAGACTAACTAACTAACTAACTAATTCTTCTTCTGCCTTTCTAACCCCTAATGGAGCATAGGCCCTCAACCAACTCATATACCAAGTAGTTCTATCCCTTGCTATTGCATGCAGGTCTCTCTGCATTACTGTTTTATTAAGCAGAGTTGTCTTACTTCTTATAAAGGAGAAGTGTCTTATTAAGTAAAAGTGTTTTACTGTCTTGTTTCAACTGTTTAACTGTCTTGTTAAGCAGAAGTGTCTTGTTGTCATGCTGAGTAGATGTGTCTTACTGTCTTGTTATATACAGTTGTCTTACTGTCTTGTTAAGAAAAAATACCTTACTGTCTTGTAAAAATACCTTACTGTCTTATCGCGAAAATACCTTACTGACTTATCATAAAAATAACTTACTGACTTATCGTGAAAATACCTTACTGTCTTATGGTGAAAACACCTTACTGTCTTACTGTCAAAATACCTTACTGTCTTACCTTACTGTCTTTTTGTGAAAATACCTTACTGTCTTATTGTGGAAATAACTTACTGTCTTATTTTGAAAATACCTTACTGTCTTACTGTCAAAATACCTGTTTTACCTTACAGTCTTATGGTGAAAATACATTACTGTCTTACTGTCAAAATACCTTACTGTCTTACTTTACTGTCTTATTGTGAAAATACCTTACTGTCTTATTTTGAAAATGCCTTACTGTCTTATCGTGAAAATGCCTCACTGTCTTATCGTGAAAATAACTTATTGTGCTATCGTGAAAAAACCTTTCTGTATTATGAAAATACCTTACTGTCTTACTGTAAAAATATCTTACTGTCTTATCATGAAAATACCTTACTGTCTTATTGTGAAAATACCTTACTGTCTTATTGTGAAAATACCTTACTGTCTTATCGTGAAAATATCTTACTGTCTTATTGTGAAATACCTTACTGTCTTATTGTGAAAACTTCTTACTGTCTTACTGTGAAAATACCTATCTTATTAAATCCTTTTCTGAGTTGGGGTTTTAATTCACGACACAGTCTTGTGTAAAACATTAAGATTTATAAACACCAATACATTACCGTAGGCATGGCAACCCTGATCAACAAACTGTGAGTGTTCTAAGAGTTCTATAAACATCTAGGTGTGTTACCTACGTTCTAAGAGTTCTACAAATATCTAGGTGTGTTACCTACGTTCTAAGAGTTCTACAAATATCTAGGTGTGTTACCTACGTTCTAAGAGTTCTACAAATATCTAGATGTGTTACCTACGTTCTTAGAGTTCTACAAACATCTAAGTGTGTTACCTACGTTCTAAGAGTTCTACAAATATCTAGGTGTGTTACCTACGTTCTAAGAGTTCTACAAATATCTAGGTGTGTTACCTACGTTCTAAGAGTTCTACAAATATCTAGGTGTGTTACCTACATTCTAAGAGTTCTATAAACATCTAGGTGTGTTACCTACGTTCTAAGAATTCTACAAACATCAAGGTGTGTTACCTACATTCAAAGAGTTCTATAAACATCAAGGTGTGTTACCTACGTTCTAAGAGTTCTATAAACATCTAGGTGTGTTACCTACGTTCTAAGAGTTCTACAAACATCTAGGTGTGTTACCTACATTCTAAGAGTTCTACAAACATCTAGGTGTGATTCATACCTAAAATCTGTTTCTGAACACAGGGGCTCATTGTCGAAGGTGTTGCAGTGTGTGGTGCTGCACCTGTTCATCATGGTGTCCAGGTAGATGGCCTCTCCGTTCCTGCAGGTGAGAGACGATTGATTGCCACAGCTCTGGTATTCATGCAGGCATACACACTCATGCACACACAACCCAGGTTTCATTAACGGACACAAGTATACCGTAATGATATAATTAATACTGTAAAGCTTCTTCTTCTTTTTGAATGTTGAATTAAGAATCAACATCACAGCACTCGGGACACTCCCATAAGCGCTCCGTCCCCATCCTCAGCAGCAAGCGAAGAGTTAAAATTCTGATGGTGCCAGTAACAGTCTGATTGTATATCCGTCTAGCCCCTCCGCCGAGTGTTGAGCGTCGGCCAGATCCCCTTGTAACTCCTCGCAATGCCATTCTCCTCAGATTGTAATGATCTATCTGTTCCTCTGCACTGTTTACTCGCTCCCAAAGGGCCCTCACAACATCCAGCTTGTCATATATCAGTTCCTCACCAAGTGGTGCAGAACTGGCCAGTCTATCCGCCTGCTCATGTCCCAACACACCGGCGTGCCCTGGAGAAAATATCCAAAGGACTACTCGGGACCTCTGAAGTGGTGCTTGCCACTCTGCACGGAGCATGCCTGTTCTTCTTCTTTTTACGATCGCTCTCTCATTTACACCGAAAGATGAGTTTTTGTGATACAACTGACTTTTAACAAATTTGCTTTTAGTTCCATACAACTCTGCGTATTGACTACTAATACAATATCTGACACAGAATAACAAAATAATTAACCAGCTCAATAAAAGCTTATCATCATCATCAAGTGCTTGTCAGTTGGGCACAGGCGTTCATGTATCTCCACAGATCTTGATCTTTGTGCTGGATCAACTCCACGGATGATATCCCTCCATGCCACTGTCTTAACCCATCCACCACCATTTCTCTTGGTCTGCCTCTGCCTCTTCTACCAGTGACCTTTCCAGTCATTACGATATTTTCCAGTGCTACTTTTGTCATCACATGTATATAGAACTTATACAGAAAGTTTTCTTTTTCTTTTTCAAATATGGAGCCTATGGTTTTTGGCAAGTATTAGCTAACTGGTAACCACCAACCAGCCTTTGGGAAAATGTATGGAAGATTGCACAGGACAGGAAAGCATGGAAAGTCCTCTCTGAAGCCTCATGTGCCACTAGGCATAACGAGAGCTGATGATGATGAACCACAAGCCTCAATGCAAGAATTAATATGTGAGGTAAAGAACACTGCTCTACGCCTTGACGCAAATTGGGCACCTAGGACTATACCTATATTTTACAGACCAATTAGTACTCAGTGGGTGATGAGGTCAATATCATGCAGACCACCTTTACTTCCCAGGACTTAACCGGTACCCATTTAGGGCTGTGCTGACCTGTTAGACAAAGTAATTTCTGAAGAAAAAAAATCCGGCTACATTAAGATCTGAACCCACTACTTTCATGTCCGCAGGCGAGTGTCTGGTCGAAACACCACTGTGGCTCCCACTAATGATTAACAGACTAATTCTAGGACTACACAACATACTCACACAATGATTATATCATTAATGGAGCGATTATTACATAAGGGCAATGGTTCTCAACCTTCCTAACACCACAACCCTTTAATACAGTTCCTCATGTTGTGATGACACCCCCCCCCCCCCCCAACATAAAATTATTTTTATTGCTTCTTCATAACTTCAGTGAATACGTGTTTTCTGATGGTCTTAGGTGACCCCTGTGAAAGGGTCATTTGACCCCCAAAGGGGTCACGACCTACTGGTTGAGAACCGCTGCATTAAGGTAATGATTAATAAACATACCCGCTACCAATGACCAACATATGCTCGTCCCCAGCCATAAACAGGTCGGCCGTGTGCTCCGGGGGGTAGCCCAGCAGCCCGGTCCAGGGGTACTTGTGTGTCTCTGGGTACAGTGTGAACACAAATGTCTCACCGGTGCCGAAGAACGAGGTGTGTGGTTTGTTCTTTTCGTGGCGAGTGTCCCAGGAAGTGGAGCAAAATGCCCCAATTATCTGTGGAACGACAAGAGATTGTGAGAGAAATGAAGAAAACCTTAAGAGCTACTATAATATTAAGACATGAAAAACATAGAAAAACTACTGGAATACTAAGATATAACAAGGACAGAAGAACTATTAGAACAAAAAGAAATAAACAGAATAGAACAACTGGAACTATGAGGCATGAAGAGAACAGAAATACTGGAACAATAAGACATAAGGAGAATAAAACTACTAAAACTATAAGACATAAAAATAACAGAAGAACTACGAGAACAAAAAAACATAAGTAGAATAGGACTACTGGAACTATAAGATATAAAAAAACAGAAGAACTTATGGAACAATAAGAACTGAAAAGAACAGAAGAACTACTGGAACAATAAGAACTGAAAAGAACAGAAGAACTACTGGAACAATAAGAAATGAACAGAATAGAACTACTAGAACAATAAGAAATAAGGAGAATACAACTACTGTAAAACATGAAAATAAGAACTACTAGAAAAATAACACATCAAGAGAACAGAAGAACTACTGAAAAAAAAACACGAAGAGAGAATAGAAGAACTACTGGAACAATAAAACAATTAAGAGAACAGAAGAATTATTTGAACAAGTCAAGAGGAGAAAAGAGGAACACTCAAACAATAAGAAATTAAGAGAACAGAAGAACGATTGGAACAACAAGAAATGTGGTCGTCTGTGCTATGCTCATCAGAAGAAAACAACATCTTGGGTCTCAAGATATACAATTGATCAATTGATTGCATGTGCAACTGCTGATTTGTTGGTTACCTCTGCGATCGTTGATGATGAACTGCATTTCTAATGTCGGACTGTTTGTGTTAGCACTTCTGATGGCTACCGTATGCTTTTAATGCGTGTGTATGCTAGTGCATATGCTGAGACAGCAGTCTGCCAATCTCTCCACAAGGGACCGTGATACACATTATGTGAGTTTTTCGTTGGCACAGGAGCAGAGCAACAATGGGGTGACCCGTTTGCTACGAGGCTGAAACTAACATTACCATTACCAAGATATACAGATCTAGATGCACTGACACTGAATGGGTGGGTAGAGGGGTGGGGGCAAATGACAGAAAACCCACAGAGAGACAGAGACTGAGAAAGTACACTGAGCCCCTCACCTCATTCCTGGTTGTCTTTATGGCCAGGATAGTCTGGGCTGCATGCTCGGTCCTGTTGTAGAGTGTGCGGATGGCTGTGCCGTGTTCGTCGGAGGAAAACAACATCTTGGGTCTCATTAGGCTAAACCTCACAGGTATCCACTGCCAGATGGTCTGAAGCTGCAATCAGGCAATGTGTTTACAAGCTATGTGTTTACAGTCAATATGTTTACAGGCAATGTGTTGATAGTCAATATGTTTACAGGCAACAAGTTTACAGGCAATGTGTTTACAGGCAATATGTTTACAGGCATTATGTTTACAAGCAACATGTTTACAAGCAACATGTTTACAGTCAATATGTTTACAGGCAATATGTTTACAAGCAACATGTTTACAGGCAATATGTTTACAGGCAATATGTTTACAAGCAACAAGTTTACAGGCAATATGTTTACAGGCAACAAGTTTACAGGCAATGTGTTTACAGGCAATATGTTTACAGGCAATATGTTTACAAGCAACAAGTTTACAGGCAATATGTTTACAGGCAATATGTTTACAGGCAATATGTTTACAAGCAGCAAGTTTACAGGCAATATGTTTACAGGCAACAAGTTTACAGTCAATATGTTTACAGGCAATATGTTTACAAGCAACAAGTTTACAGGCAATATGTTTACAGGCAATATGTTTACAGGCAATGTGTTTACAGGCAATGTGTTTACAGGCAATATGTTTACAGGCAATATGTTTACAGGCAATATGTTTACAGGCAATATGTTTACAGGCAATATGTTTACAGGCAACGTGTTTACAGGCAATGTGTTTACATGCAATGTGTTTACAGGCAATATGTTTACAGATAATATGTAAACAGGCAATGTGTTTACAGGCAATAAGTTTACAGGCAATATGTTTACAGGCAATATGTTTACAGGCAATATGTTTACAGGCAATATGTTTACAGGCAATATGTTTACAGGCAATATGTTTACAGGCAATATGTTTACAGGCAATAAGTTTACAGGCAATATGTTTACAGGCAATATGTTTACAGGCAATATGTAAACAGGCAATGTGTAAACAGGCAATGTGTTTACAGGCAATTTGTTTGCAGTCAATATGTTTACAGACAAGAGGTTTTCAGGCAAGAATTTCAGGCAAGACTTTTACAGGCAATATGTAAACGGGCATAAGTCATTAGGACTGTATAGTTTAACAATCACAACTTTACTGTTTGTTGCAACATTTAGCAGAACTACTGAAAACCCTTTAGCTAGTCGAGGTTCCAACAGCGCTACAGAGGGGTAGCATCAAAACTGTTCCATTGCTATGCTTGTGGACATCACATAAAATGTCCTTTACTATCAGTGTCCCAGAAAAATATTGAAGTTAGCATATGCAAAATGAAAATGCATAAGATAGCTGTCAGATGTGCCAATACTAGCTGGACACCCCGTCAACCAGCATGCCACATAGCCACAACTGTGCCGGCCCCAGACATATAGCTGACATTCTAGGAAATCGCTCTGACAGAATAATGAGATCCAACTCATGATCCACCAAAGTCATTCAAACAATGTACAAGCCCCAAAAGAATAAAACCACAATCTTAAAACTGTCACATGACACAGTCTATGTGACAGGACTTGAACAATTTACTCACATGTCCACACACTTAGACTAAAAACAGACTTGCTTAACTCTTTGAGTCCCAGGTGGTTTAGCATCAGAGGCCCAAGGGGTAGTCAAGAGAGACCTACGCAGTCGATAAGAGGCTCGCTTCCAATCCAGCTGCGACTCGCTGCAGCCCACGGTCTGTGTTTGAAACCGGGTGGTTCCCGGGTTCACCCAGCCTCTAGGTAATGGGTACCAGAGTTGACACTCTGGGGTAAATGGAGAAACGTCGCTGTAGCTACAGAGTTACATGTGAACGGCGACACAGGCGGACAAATCTTATCAGTTGTCCGTACTTGTGGCAGAGCACTTATGGTTTATAACCGTGTGCAATGACGCTGGTTCACATCTCCCAACTTTACCTTTTACCTTTAAGAGAGACCTAAAATTGGCATATGTTGCGTTTATTGGGCCTCTAGGTAGGAACCAATGAACATATGGTGCGTTCCTTGGGACTCAAAGAGTTAAATACCACTCACTCCCGCCAACAGCAGTCAGTTTCACGTGGATCTCACATTCTCCACACAACTCGGAATGTTTACAGTCATCCATGAACATCAAACAACCTGTTTCATAACTTTAAGTGGTTCAAATGTTTACACTCACAACCTGTCAACACAACATGCATGCCTGAGTGTCTCCATGCTTCAGAAAGACATAATTAACTCTTTATATCCCAAAGTGATTTCACACACAACACTCAGCAGCTGGGAAATGAAACCTTTGGACTCCTGGTCCAGAAATGGGGAATTTGCATCACCAAAGCCTACCTGGAAACAGACAATTTTTTTCCCCCAGCATTGGTAAGCCACTTTGGCCAGAAATCATCCAATGAATAGAAAGACAATACTCAGCGAGACTAAATAAACTTACCATTTCAGGGGTGAGAATTGCCGAAGCCACATGTTGCCTCAGTCGTGGTCCGTTGAAGGACCTTGCGATGGAAATATTGCCCATACTGGGGGAGGAGACCACCCTAGGAACAATGTCCCTCGCCGGAAGACTCTTAAGGTATGCCTCATTTTTCTCCTGCAGTTTTTCAATCTCTTTTCGGTTGAAGCCTCGTATTCCAAAGGCAACCTAGAGAGGTAAGGCAAGGAGAATACTTTTAACATATATATCAATGTATGTGCTCATATTCACAGTCACTTTTACACAAGACGCACAAATAAATACATAACAAAGAGACATACACACACAAACACCATACAGACACACACAAACATCCATACATACACCATCGTGCATACATATACAAAAATATACCTCATGCCCAACAATATACAACTGTACTCATAGCCATATATATACTCAAACATATAGGTATACATACGTACATACCTGCACTCACATACATGTCACACATATGCATCTACAAACATGAACACATACACGAACAAACACATAAACACAAACATGAACACATATATGAACACACACATGAACACACACAAGAACGCATATATGAACACACACATGAACGCACATATGAACACACACATGAACACATATGAACACACACATGAACACACACACACACACACATGAACACATATATACACACACATGAACGCATATATGAACACACACATGAACACATATATGAATACACACATGAACACACTCGTGAACACATACACGAACTCATGTGTAAACACATATATGAACTCATCCATGAACACAAACATAAAAAAATTCATAGAAAGAGACCTTAACCAAACAATTTAAATTAACATGAAAACATATATGACCACAAACAGTACCTTAATTTTTTTTTAAATTCCGATTCACACACATATGGACATATATGTGAACACATAGACACAAACAGATACAGTACCTTAAACATTCTGGATTCACACACATATTAACACATAGAGGAACACATAAACACAGACAGAGACAATACCTTAATCAAACTTTAGATCCACACACAAATGAACACATGTATGAACACATACACACAGAGTAAGTAACTTCATCAAACATTTTGGGCCCCCAACCCCTACGCACGCACATGCATGCACGCACGCACCCACGCGAGCACACGCACACACACACAAGAACACAGGCACAAGCAGAAACAGTACCTTAATCAAACGTTTCGGGTCCACAGACATATTTTTGCAGAACCTGGAGATGGCAGCACTAATATTGTGAACCGGAGAGTTCCGACTTCCGTGTCGATCTGTGGACAAACAGGAAACTCCTGTCACCATTTATTCTACATCTATACACATAATTTCTAGTTCCCACTTCCGTGCCGATCTGTGGACAAACAGGAAACTCCTGTCACCATTTATTCTACATCTATACACATAATTTCTAGTTCCCAATTCCGTGCCGATCTACGGACATACAGGACACTCTTGTCACCATTTATTCTACATCTATACACATAATATCTAGTTCTGACTTCCGTGCCCATCTCTGGACATACAGGACACTCCTGTCACCATTTATTCTACATCCATACACATAATATCTAGTGAGAAAGAATCCACGATGCTGGCGTGAGTGGTTCAGCATGAGAATGGAAACCCTGAGATGCTGAGGGAGACCCAGATGAAAATGGATGGATGGAGTCGTTGACAGTCTAAGACTTAACATCACAGCACACAAGAAAAAACAAAAAACAGAGCCTGACCTGGCCCAACTCCTGACAACTGTTACATCTAGCAACACAAAGCATGTTGGCAAAAGAAGTAAATCGGCAGATATCCTCACTGAACATTCAACCATTCAGTCTCTAGGTGCTCAAAGAGCATCCTCAGTAAATCCAGCAGTGTGTAGCGGCTGAAGCCATCAGCTGGTTATTCTGCCTGTATAGTGCTCTTGTCTGGCCACACCCTTTTTCACATGCTGGTCTTCTGTTCAAACTATGAAGCTGAAATAATTGCACTGGAAACAGCAGTATACCACCTAAAGACTGTAATGGATGTTTACCCTTCAAAGGTCCAAAATATTGTCATCTTCACAGATTCAATGTCTGCCCTTCAAGCTCTAGAGGGCAGTGAACGCTGCAGAACTGACATAGCCAAGATAATCCTGGATGCTGATCAGCTTATTACCTCATTCAACATCAGAATAGTGATGCAGTGGATTCCAGGTCACTCCGGCACACCAGGTAATGACAGAGCTGACAGATTGGCAAAGAAAGGAGCAACACAAGAACAACCACCTACAGCGACAACCCTCCAGACAGCAAAAACACTGATAAGAGCTATAAACAAAGAGACTTGGTTGAACAGATGGGCCATGGGAGACACTGGAAGAGAGGTGTATAGACATATGTCTGGCCCTGATCCTAATGACAGCATTAACCATCCAACAAGAAGGGACCAGGCCACCATCTTCAGACTTAGAACGCAACATACTCCACTCAATGGACACCTAAACAGAATACAGCAACAACACTCCCCAGAGTGCCAGCTATGTAACTACCCCTACGAAACTGTTGAACACCATCTCTTTGAGTGCCCAAAACTCAGTGAGACAAGAAGAACGCTACTCCCTCCGAGACCAGACAAGTGGAATACCTTGTACGGGGGAAAAGAACAGCTTGTGAAAACATGCAAATTCCACTACATGGCATTGGGCCAAAGGGCGAAAGCTCATGCGCCGCTGGATCAGTAACAACAACAACAAAAACACATGCTGGTCTTCCAGTCTGATCATAGATGCAGATTTGCAGTATTTACTTCATTGGCGCGAATATTTTACTTCTTATAGAGCATTCAGTATATCAGCATTGTCCGTGGCTTGTCCGCCCTCCACGGTAGTCTTACCTGGAAACCTATCAGGTTTCTCCTTTCCTTGCACACTAGCATACCCTGGCACAGATACAAAACTGACCTTTGTCAGCTATAACCGCCTCAGAGACACCAACCTCTCTGTCTTAGGGTCCAACTTACTGGATTCTTTTGGCAAACAGAAGAGCTTTTGTGAAAAACTTACTGGGTTCTTTTGGCAAACAGAAGAGCTTTTGTAAACAACTTACTGGATTCTTTGGCAAACAGAAGAGCTTTTGTAAACAACTTATTGGATTCTTTTGGCAAACAGAAGAGCTTTTGTAAACAACTTACTGGAAATTTTTGGCAAACAGAAGAGCTTTTGTAAACAACTTACTGAATTCTTTGGCAAACAGAAAAGCGTTTGTAAACAACTTACTGGATTCTTTGGCAAACAGAAGAGCTTTGGTAAACAACTTACCGGATTCTTTGGCAACCAGAAGAGCTTAGGTAAACAACTTACTGGATTCTTTGGCAAACAGAAGAGCTTTGGTAAACAACTTACTGGATTCTTTAGCAAACAGAAGAGCTTTGGTAAACAACTTACTGGATTCTTTGGCAAACAGAAGAGCTTTGGTAAACAACTTACTGGATTCTTTGGTAAACAGAAGAGCTTTGGTAAACAAATTACTGGATTCTTTGGCAAACAGAAGAGCTTTGGTAAACAACTTACTGGACTCATTGGTAAACAGAAGAGCTTTGGTAAGCAACTTACTTGAGTCTTGGTAAACAGAAGAGCTTTGGTAAACAACTTACTGGAGTCTTTGGTAAACAGAAGAGCTTTGGTAAACAACTTACTGGATTCTTTGGTAAACAGAAGAGCTTTTGTAAACAACTTACTGGATTCTTTGGCAAACAGAATCATGATTGCCAGGGCAACTCTGTAAAGAACTTTGTAACCCTCCAGGAGAAAACTGTCTATGATCCGAACCTGTCCAAGCAGAACAAATAAAGTGTTTCAATTATGCAAACCTCAACATCACAAAGTATTTCAATTACATAAACCTCCACAAACAGCACAAAGTGTATCAATTACATAAACCTTCACCAACAGCACAAAGTGTGTCAATTACATAAACCTCCACAAACAGTACAATGTGTATCAATTACATAAACATCCACAAACTATAAAGTGTAACAATTACATAAATGTTCACAAATAGAACAAAGGGTATCAGTTGCATAAACCTCCACAAACAGAACAAAGCGTTGCAATTACATAAACCTCCATAAATAGAGCAAAGTGTTCTAATTATATAAACCTCCACAAACAGAACAAATACTAATTATATAAACCTCTATAAAAAATAACAAAATGTACCACTTATAAAAATGGACAATAGAACAATTTGATATGTTCATTAGATTGATTTCTTTGCAAGTTACAACTCACCAGGTACTGAAAGGGAAGATCCCGGAAAATCCACCACAACCACGTAACAAAGACAGACTCCACAGTCTTGGAGCTTCTGACCATCAGGACGTACGCTTGTTTCTGGAAGGGAAGAGTCAAACAGATCCAGAGGTTAGATAAGAACAGAAATTATAGGACACACAGGGTCTCCTCGACTTAAAGATCGAGACCTGTTCTAACAAGTCATTAGGTCAAATTGGCTGTCAACACATTTTCATTCAAACTGCAGTTCCAGATGGAAATGGTTTGGCCACGTTATGAGAATGACTTCCGATATACCTGCCAAAACAGCTCTCACATGGACACCAGAGGGAAAGAGAAAACAGGGGCGCCCAAAAACAACATGGAGACGAACGATGGAAAGTGACCTGAGTGCGGCATCTTTGACATGGAAAACTGCACTGAAGATTGCACAGGACAGGAAAGCATGAAAAGTCCTCCCTGAAGCCTCATGTGCCACTAGGCATAACAAGAACTGATGACTGATGCAGTTCCAGACATTCTGCCGCACGTGGTAGGGTCAAACAGGCTCAATCTAGACCAACAGCCTCAAAAGTTCCCCCTCTGTTTATTTATAGGAATGACGTTTACACACTGGAACCTACCAATCAAATACCTTTCTTAAACGTTTGTGTATTCTAGACAAAGCATTAAGGTCTACTGTGTTCGTAAATTGTTGTTGTGATTGTTATTCGACATATGCTTCGTTAATATAAACCTATGGTGCCATTTCAATTGTTTTAAATGAATTCTGTCCGTATTCCATAGTTGTGGATTTCAAGCTGTACGACAGACATGACCAAAAAGACACCTTTTTTGGGGGGTGCCTAGCTGACCATGTTCTTAGTGCACTTGTATCCATGGCGAGGCGCAGACGCCGTCTGGAGGTGACAGGTTCAATTCCCGGCACGGTAACTATATTTCGATTTTTATGTTGTCTAGTGTGTTCTTCTATCTTTCTACTTCTTTCTATGAGTGTCGATCAATAAACTTTCTGTTACTTGATTAATTCAATCTAGACCAGTGTTTCCTAAACTTGTCTCAGTCACAGCGCCATTTTTCAATTAACATTTTTCCACGGCGGCCTAACCTAAGTAAAAGTATCACTATTCGCATGTAAAGGATTAAAAAAAAGGAGAAAAAAACTTGTGTATTTCGCAGCGCCCCTGTGAAGAGGTCGCCGCTCCCAGGGCCCCACTGGGCACAGTTTGGGAATCACTGGTCTAGACCCTGCTGCTTTCTAAGCATCAGTTCCAGGAACTTGTTTGCCCTACCAATATATGAGGGGTGGCCATTAAGTAAAGGCAATCGCATTATTAAGTTTTCAGAAGCGGCTGGAACCAAACTGTTTTGTGTCCTATTTCTCAACATAGTCTCCCGGCCTTGCAATACATGTAATCCGCCGATCCACAAGACTGGATGCTAACCAGGTAGAAGCTTCAGGGTGTGGCCACACCGGCACCACCTCACTGCAAATTTCAGACTCCGCAAATGATCTTTCAATGGGCCAAACAAATGAAACTCTGATGGTACCAAGTATGGGCAGTATTCTTGATGTTTCAATACTTCAAAAAAAAAGCAATGTAATGTATCCACTGTATACAAAGCTTAGAAGCTTTAAACATTTCGTTCTGATCTGTATCTTGGAGTGAGTCACAGACTCAATCACCATCGCCCCCAAAAAAATGACTTGCCAACTGGCATGAGTGACCCTGTCTCTCCACAACGTGTGATCTATAACAGAAGTCATCGGCAGCATCATGTGCTGACATCCCTTCACGTCATGACAATAAACTGTCATGAATCTTTTTACTCCGTCTTCCTCTAAATATGTTTAGAGTCAATACTTACCACAAGTGTCTTTTTGGGCCAAATCTCAGAGAACTTCCCTGAAGGTGTACCCACCTTGCTGAGGTGGGGGAGCTTGTGTTTCTCAGCGACCCTGAGAGCTATGCCGGCAGTAGTGCAGCTACCAGCAGGGCCTCTGAAGCTGGAAAGGTCGAAGGGTGGAGAACAGACAAAGAGGCACATCCTGGTACTCCTGGTTGGGGGTTGAAGCATAGGGCCGATACTCCCACCTTCGTAAAACTTCATTAAACCTTAGAAGTCGGTGTCACCAACTGGAAAGAGAAGGCCAACCTGAGAGATGAGTGGAGGCGGGTGATATTTGCAGCAACGAACCTCAAGGGCTCGGAATGCTGAAAAAAAAGGAGAAGAAGATCACGGAGGACAAATCTGGAAGCTTTAACTTTGTTCGAGACTGTCCCTGATTCAACGCTTACTGCATATGTTTTGGCCAGACTGTAGAACATATTTGGAAGCTCCCAATCTGATCCATTTTTTTCATTTTCTAGAGACTGATTCAATACATACAGCATATTGGGTGGGAGCGGGGGGTTGGGGGTGGGGGGGGGTGGGGCAGATCTCAAAGAACATATCTTAAAGCTCTAGTTTTGATGCGTCTCTCGGAAACTGTCACAGACTCAATACTCACCGCATATTTTTTGGCCAGATCTCGGAGAACAAATTTAGAAGCTTCGGTTTTGACCTTGGTCTGGGTAAAGTAGTAGGGCCTGGTACTGCTAAGCATGGCCTGGAGGCAGTTGAAGCAGGCTTCGGGCTCCATGTAGTGCAGGAACAAGCAGGACATGGGGTAGAGCAGTGGGCAGTAGATGATGTCCGGGTGGTAGTTACACAAGATGGTCATCACCGCTTTGGCCTGCTGGATGCCGTCGTTGGTGAGGAAGTAGGAATGTAGGTGATCCAGATCCACGAATGCTGGCAGCATCAGGTCATCATCCACTGCAACGGATTGCATAGACTGGTTAATGGCTGATATTAGTGATACTAGGGATTATGGAGAGAGAGAGGGACAGAGACAGAGAAAGAGTCACACAGAGAGACAGACACACAGAGAGACAGAGAAACACACAAAGTAACAGAGACACACAGAAAGACACAGAGAGAGAGAGAGAGAGAGAGAGAGAGAGAGAGAGAGAGAGAGAGAGAGAGAGAGAGAGAGAGAGAGAGAGAGAGAGAGAGAGAGAGAGAGAGAGAGAGAGAGAGAGAGAGAGAGAGAGAGAGAGAGAGACATACAAAGAAACAGAATGATCGAACAAACAAACTTTATTTTCAAAGAGTTACAAATTGGGCACGCAGGCCCATCTGACATTCGGCCCTTCTAAGCACTTATCTTTCAGAGTACCAATGCATTTTATGTTTATAATTTAAAAAAAAAGATATATTATAGAATAATGCATTCACACATCATGTATACAGAATCATACACACTCACACACGTACACTTACATTCTCATACACACATACATTCACCTACACACTAATATACAGACATACGTAATACACACATACATACATTCATACATACACCCACATACTTACATACAGAGATACAGAAAGATAGACACAAGAGACATGTAGAGGGAAACAGAGTGTGTGCATACGTGTGAGTGTGCGTGTGTGTGTGTGCACTTTGCCAATTCTTCTTATTCTACATGTGTCCTTGAAAGAGATGGTAGGCATGTTGTGTTGTGGTTTACAGCTAGGTTGCAATATCATCGCTTTTTTGCCCAACATATGCAGTTTCAACAAAACTTTCACCTTTCTATGCCATGCTTATTGAGGTGGAAAGAGGGCTGGGCAGGGGAGGGGGTGGCTACCTCTCTCAATGGGTTGCAAGAACCAATTTCCAGTTTAGTTTATTTTCTCTTCTTCTATCCCCAGACACACATATGGAAGGAGAGCTGAGTTTAGTTGAGTTGTCACGAATTGACATCCCAGCACTCCGGGTACTCCCATGCGTGCTCTGTCCTCATCTTCAGCAGCCAGCGCAGAGTTCCAATTCTGATGGTTATATGTTTGTCTTGCCTTTCCTCTGGGTGTAGTGAGCCGGCCAGACCCTCTGGTTACACACAGGTGCCTCATTCTCTCCAGGCCATAATAATCTTGTTTCTCTACTTATTTCGTTGGGTAATAAAAAGCCAGACAGATTGGCTGGATTTGCACCACTGGGTGGTGAATTGATACATGACAAGGCAGATGTGGTCAAGGCCCTTTGGGAACAAGCAACTGAATCAGTAGAGACAGATTATTTATATGACAGATAGAACACACGATATCAACGGTTTTGCTGAAAACCTCTGTCATTTTATGGCAAGGTAACGTGGCTCAAGATCATCCAATGGAAAGTGAGCTAGGCTGAAGGTCAACCAATCAGAAGTGAGCTAGTGTGTGTAAGAGTGTGAAAATGGGGAGACTAACGTTGAGCTAACCACCACTCTATATGAGCAGACACATAAACCACTCTATATGTGCAGACACAAAAACCACTCTATATGTGCAGACATATAAACCACTCTATATGTGCAGACACATAAACCACTCTATATGTGCAGACACATAAACCACTCTTTACGTGCAGACACATAAACCACTCTATATGTGCAGACACATAAACTACTCTATATGTGCAGACACATAAACTGCTCTATATGTGCAGACACATAAACCACTCTTTACGTGCAGACACATAAAACCACTCTATATGTGCAGACATATAAACCACTCTATATGTGCAGACACATAAACCACTCTATATGTGCAGACACATAAACCACTCTTTACGTGCAGACACATAAACCACTCTATATGTGCAGACACATAAACTACTCTATATGTGCAGACACATAAACTGCTCTATATGTGCAGACACATAAACCACTCTTTACGTGCAGACACATAAACCACTCTATATGTGCAGACACATAAACCACTCTTTACGTGCAGATACATAAACCACTCTATATGTGCAGACACATAAACCACTCTTTACGTGCAGACACATAAACCACTCTTTACGTGCAGACACATAAACCACTCTATATGTGCAGACACATAAACCACTCTTTACGTGCAGACACATAAACTGCTCTATATGTGCAGACACATAAACTGCTCTATATGTGCTTGGGCACATAAACCACTCTATATGTGCAGACGCATAAACCACTCTATATGTGCAGACGTATAAACCACTCTATATGTGCAGACACATAAACTGCTCTATATATGCTTGGGCACATATACTAAAGAATTCCTGACTGTCATGGGAAAATGGCTCAACCAGACACAGAAATGTATCAACTCAGATGGATGCTTATGCACACAGAAAGTAAGACACACACATAGCGAAACACTGCACCTGGAAAACAGCCTGTCCAGTGACAGACAGAAAGACAGACAAATAAACAAAGGACTCACTTACTGCCACTTGGAAACAGCTCAACCAAAAAAACAGAGGAATCGCTTACTGAAATTCGGAAACAGCTTGTTCAAAAATATAAATGGAGGAATCGCTTACTGCCATATGAAAACAGCTTGTTCAAAGACACGGAGGAATCGCTTACTGCCATTTGGAAACAGCTCATTCAAAAACAAAGAGGAATCATTTACTGCCATTTTTAAACAGCTCATCCAAACACATAGAGGATTCACCAACTACCATTTGGAAACAGCTTGTCCAAACACAGAGAGAGAAGAATCACTTGCAGCCCTGAGAAAACAACACACACAAAGAAATCACTTACCACCATCTGGAAACAGCTCGAGCAAACACTGCTGGTACATGTGCTCCTCAGCCTTCAGGAGATGGTTGCAGAGGTTCTCCCATAAATGCCTCCTGGCATCACTCTCGGCTGGCCACTGGGAGTTACGCAGGTAAGACTTCAGGCCCTTCAAGGAGCCACCTTTCAGCAGAATCAGCAGGTGCTCCTCGGATCGGCCCCCAAAACCATCCTCTGCAGAGAATAACGTCGCCTATACTCTATGGTATATGTAGATTTTACAAATAAGATTTATGAAATAAGAAAACAATGAGAGGTGAATACGTGGCTGATGCAAGACAAATGCAGAGATTTCAGTGTGAATGTACACTCTTCTCCTCCTCTTCTTAATCCTTCTGCACCTCCTCTTCCTAACCCTCCTGCTCCTTCATCTTTTCTTGATCTTCCTTCTCTTCTTTATCCCCCCCACCCCATTCAACCCACATCATCCTCTTTCCCATCCTGTGGGTGCCAGGCCTGTGGCAGGCACCATCAGTGATTTTCTAACATCATCATATTATATTTGAGAGACACACACATCCAGGCACAACCAACAAACTACTGACCTGTCTAAGATTCCTATCTCAGACCAATGTCTTAGACTAGTGTCTCAGATCCCTGTCTTAGACCCATGTCTCAGATCCCTGTTCCAATCCTCTGTTTGAGACATCTGTCTCAGACACCTATTTCAGATCCCAGTCCAAGATCCCAGCCTCAGATTCCAGTCCAAGACCCCTGCCTCGGATCCCAGCCTCAGATTCCAGTTCAAGACCCCGGCCTCGGATCCCAGCCTCAGATTCCAGTCCAAGACCCCTGCCTCGGATCCCAGCCTCAGATGCCAGTCCAAGACCCCTGCCTCGGATCCCAGCCTCATATTCCAGTCCAAGACCCCTGCCTCGGATCCCAGCCTCAGATTCCAGTCCAAGACCCCTGCCTCGGATCCCAGCCTCAGATTCCAGTCCAAGATCTCTACTTCGGATCCCAGCCTCAGATTCCAGTCCAAGACCCCTGCCTCGGATCCCAGCCTCAGATTCCAGCCTCAGATCCCAGCCTCAGATTCCAGTCCCAGATCCCTGCCTCAGATCCCAGCCTCAGATCCCAGTCCAAGACCCCTGCAAAGATCCCAGTCCAAGACCCCTGCAAAGATCCCAGTCCAAGACCCCTGCAAAGATCCCAGTCCAAGACCCCTGCAAAGATCCCAGTTCAAGACCCCTAAGATCCATGTCTCAGATCCCAGTCCAAGACCCCTGTCTAAGATCCATGTCTTGTCTCAGATCCCAGTCCAAGACCCCTGTCTAAGATCCATGTCTTGTATCAGATCCCAGTCCAAGACTCCTGTCTAAGATCTGTGTCTCAGATCATAGTCCAAGATCCCTGTCTCAGATCCCTGTCCAAGACCCCTAAGACTCATCTCTGATCCCCGTCTGAGACCCCCATCCAAGACCCCTCCCTGCCCCCCCCCCCCCCCCCCACCTACCTGTATGTGGATTCTTGTTCCCCAAGGATGTCTTGAAGCTGTCAACATCCACAAACTCCGTGAAGGCAACACCCAGCTCCAGCGAGTGCTCAAACATGGCTCGTTCCTTCATCGGCTCCGGTTTCTCCTCATCCTCGACGGTCACCATCGTTGACTTTGCCGGTGAAGACGGTGAAGACCCATCCTCTGAGAGTTGTGAATATTTGCTGCAGACCCCAATACCATCTGGGGAGGCCAGCATAAAGAAGAATGATCAAGTACAGGGAATGGCTTGGGCGGTCAGCTAAGAATCAATGTCCATGCCTTCAGTGGTTTTAATATAACCACAGCTAAGATTAACACATGTTGTTACATTATAACCTAACTACAATGGTTATAATGTTATTGAAATCACAACTAGGAATAACAAATGTTGTTACATTATAGCCTAACTACAATGGTTATAATGTTGTTGAAATCACAACTAGGAATAACAAATGTTGTTACATTATAGCCTAACTACAATGGTTATAATGTTATTGAAATCACAACTAGGAATAACAAATGTTGTTACATTATAGACTAACTACAATGGTTATAATGTTGTTGAAATCACAACTAGGAATAACAAATGTTGTTACATTATAGCCTAACTACAATGGTTATAATGTTATTGAAATCACAACTAGGAATAACAAATGTTGTTACATTATAGCCTAACTACA